TGTTATTTTTACATAAAATGATTAACATTCCCATGTGACTGGAAGCCATTACAACTCTCTCCCCTGCCCTCCCTGTCTCTACACTGCCACTATCCATTAAAGCATAATTGAAAAAAAAATTGTTGACTACAGCTGATTTAAAAAGCATTTCATACCTCTGCCACAGTGAACAGTCCTGGCCATCTGATCTTGAACTCTGCCATCATGGGCTTGTCTCTGACAACCTCCTGCCTTCTGTATGCGAACGTCTTAGCCATTTTTTCTTTGATAACTTTATCATTATGTCTCTTCTTGACCTCAGATAACAACGCCAATCTTTCCCCTTCAAGGCTGTCCTGGGTCTCTCCAGCAGGGTAGGGAGGACACAAATTTACTTCGGCTTTCCTCGTTTTTTTGACATCGTAGGCAGGCTGACATCTATCTGCAGGTTTGTGCTTGAGGGAATTGATACTCAGTTCTGGGCACCCCAAGCAGGGGCGGATCTAGGATTTTAGGATATCAGGGGCTTAGCCCTGAGGGTTCAGATGCTGATTTCTGCTTTCCGTCTTTTTTTTTTCTTTTTTTTTTGCTGCCTGGCACACAAAACTACAATTTGTTTGTACTTCAACTTACCACAGCAGAGAGGCACGGAGAAACATCTTATTCAATCCAATCTACTTTATTTATATAGCACATTTAAAACGTAAACATGTTCACCAAAGTGCTGCACATATAAAATACATAAAAAAATAAAGTCATAAAATAAACTAAAATTATACAAGAGAACAATAAAATAATACAATAAATTTGTAACGGGTCCCAAGCTGGGCCGGGTACCACGTCACAATATTGAAAAAGATGAGTGTTCAGTGTCTCGCTGGCTTTGGGCTCTGAAAAACAGAGTGAATGATCACAGGATTAAGAACACCGAACCATTCTCTTCCGTTCCCAAAACTCCTCTCATTTATTCACAATTATATAACAAAACAATCAAACAAGCAACCAATAAAATATTCCCGAAATCTGCAATAGTGTCTCTTTCAGTGTCCTCTTCCAGGTACAACGTGCATACGAACGTGTATACAGTTCTTATTCCCTTTTTTTCCAGGTAGCGTATGTTTCAGGTAAGTAGGCGAGTGTGTGTCACTGTCAGGTAAGTATGATATGTGTGAATGTAGGTGAATGTGCAGTTTCCAGTGTCCATTAAACAGGTGAGTATGTAATGTTGTTGTTTGTTCTGTTCCCATAGAACACAAACATACAGTATAACCATAAAGCTTTTGTTATATTCAACATAACCATATAACTCTGTCAAAATACATTAGTTCCTCTCACACTCAGTATCGCGCTTTGACTTCAATAAACACCTAAACCCATCATCATTTCACATTTAAATATATCCACGGGCACTCTCTGTATAGGTACTAATCCCATATAGCTACCATTAAATAGTACAAATAATACTGTTAGCCAGTGCAGTTTTTATAGTGCTGCTAATCACAACTATAGTGGAGGAGCAGCGGCTCTACTCTGAGCCCCTCCCGGATGGCCGAGCTTCTCACCCTATCTCTAAGGGAGAGCCCGGCCACCCTGCGGAGGAAACTCATTTCGGCCGCTTGTATCCGCGATCTCGTTCTTTCGGTCACTACCCAAAGCTCGTGACCATAGACGAGGGTGGGAACGTAGATCGACCGATAAATTGAGAGCTTCGCCTTTTTTTTTTTTTTTTTTAAGATTTTTTTGGCTCTAGTGGCCTTTAATGACAGTAGGTTGACAGGAAAGGGGGCAGAGATAGAGAGGGGGAGACCTGCGGGAAAGGGCCGTGGGCCGGATTCGAACCCACGGCCACCCGCTTACGAGCACAGGCTCTGTATATGGGCCGCCCGCTCTAGCCATTAGGCTACGGCTGCGGCCCGAGAGCTTCGCCTTTAGGCTCAGCTCTCTCTTAATCACGACAGACCGCTACAGCGCCCGCATTACTGCAGACGCCGCACCGATCCGCCTATCGATCTCACGCTCCCTACCCCCATTCGCAAACAAGACCCCGAGATACTTGAACTCCTCCACTTGGGGAAGGACGTCCGCTCCGACCCGGAGAAGGCACTCTACCCTTTTCCGGTGAGAGACCATGGTCTCGGACTTGGAGGCACTGATCCTCATCCCAGCCGCTTCGCACTCGGCTGCGAACCGCCCCAGCGAGAGCTGTAGGTCCCGACTTGATGGAGCCAACAGGACCACATCATCTGCAAAAAGCAGAGATGCGATCCTAAGGCCACCAAGACTGACACCCTCAACACCTCGGCTGCGCCTAGAAATCCTGTCCATAAAAGTTATGAACAGGACCGGAGACATAGGGCAACCTTGGCGGAGTCCAACTCCCACCGGAAACGAGTCCGACTTACTACCGGCAATGCGAACCAGACTGTGACTCCGGTCGTACAGGGACCGAACAGCCCGTAACAAAGGGCCAGGTACCCCATACTCCCGGAGCACCCCCCACAGGATACCCCGAGGGACACGGTCGAACGCCTTCTCCAAGTCCACAAAACACATGTGGACTGGTTGAGCGAACTCCCATGCACCCTCTAGGACCCCGCTGAGGGTATAGAGCTGGTCCAGCGTTCCACGGCCAGGACGAAAACCACCCTGCTCCTCCTCGATCCGAGGCTCGACTATCCGACGGACCCTCCTCTCCAGAACCGCTGAATAGACCTTCCCAGGGAGGCTTAAGAGTGTGATCCCCCTATAGTTGGAACACACCCTTCGGTCCCCCTTTTTAAATAGGGGGGACCACCACCCCAGTCTGCCAATCCAGCGGGACTGCCCCTGATTTCCACGCGATGTTGCAGAGTCTCGTTAGCCAACGCAGCCCCACAACATCCAAAGCCTTTAGGAACTCCGGCCGAATCTCATCCACCCCCGGGGCCCTGCCACCGCGGAGCTTTTTGACTACCTCGGTGACTTCAGCCCCGGAGATTAGAGATTCCAGCTCCGAATCCCCAGGCTCTGCCCCTCCAACGGAGGACGCGCCAGTGGGATTGAGGAGGTCCTCGAAGTACTCCGCCCACCGACCCACAACGTCACGAGTTGAGGTCAACAGCACACCATCCCCACTGTAAACAGTGTTGGTGGGGCACTGCTTCCCCCCCCTGAGACGCCGGATGGTGGACCAGAATCGCCTCGAGGCCGTACGGAAGTCTTTTTCCATGGCCTCCCCAAACTCCTCCCACGCCCGGGTTTTTGCCTCGGCGACCACCCGAGCCGCACGTCGCTTGGACTGCCGGTACCCATCGGCTGCCTCCGGAGTCCCACAGGCCAAAAAGGCCCGATAGGACTCCTTCTTCAGCCTGACGGCATCCCTCACCGCCGGTGTCCACCAGCGGGTTCGAGGGTTGCCGCCACGACAGGCACCGACAGCCCTGCGACCGCAGCTCTGGGAGGCCGCGTCATTGATGGAGGCGCGGAACACGGCCCACTCGGACTCAATGTCCCCCGCCTCCCCCGGAACGTGTTCGAAGCTCTCCCGGAGGTGGGAGT